ACGCCTGGCTGGTGTGTGGCGTTGGCTTGCAGTGCTTGCTTGGCTGGGGAGCATGTGTGTCTGTACACGTGGCTGGTGTGGCAGCAGAATTCCAAGTTGAACAGTGCAGGCAAGAGAATGAGGTTCAGTCCCTTTGCAAGGACCCCATCTCTGCCTCAGTTTCCTCTCTGCTGGCAGTGAAATTGGTGTCACATATCCTCAGGGAAGGGTCCAACCTGCAACTGGGTATGGGGGCTGAGAGCTCCCACCCTCATGTGCTGCCCCATCATCTCTCCCACGAATGATGCCAAGCAAGCTCTGGGCCATCAGCCGGCCCTGCTGTGCTCCCCAAGGGCTGGGAAAGTGCCCTGGCTCGGTGAGGGTCCAAAATGCCACGTCCTCCCCTTGCCCCCAGGTGTTGGCATCTCAGCCTCAGACTGCTGCCTGAAGAACAGCCGGAAAGCCATCCCCAGCAGCTGGGTGAAGTCCTACACCATCCAGGGACCGGAGTCGGGATGTTTGCTGCGTGCTGTTGTGTGAGTACCCTGCTGTGGTCCGGACCATCCGGAACAGTTTGGCTCCAGCCAAGCCTTCTGTCCCTGTGTCCTCCCCCCTGCCCACCCCCCCCAGCAAACCTTTCTGCCTGCACCCCCAGGTTTACCACCAAGAGGAATAAGAAGATCTGCGCCTCTCCCACCGACCCCACTGTCCAGAAGCTGATCCAGAACCTGGACAAGAAGGTGAAGAATGACAAGAAGGACAAGAAGAAGGGACATACCACGCGTCCCGGGGGCAGACCCAAGCGGCAGAAGAGGCAGCGGGTCTAAGTCAGGCCTGAAGAGGTAGGCAGAGGGAGTGGGGGGCAGCAGGGTGGTGGGGTGAGGGTGCTGCTCCCCATCCCAGTTACTTCCCCATGGGAGGGCGAGCATCCAGCTCCTGGGGCCCAGCCTGGGAGGGCTGTTGCAGCCGAGGCTGGAGTGTGGAGGCACTTAGGGCATAGCTCCCTCCTGGTCTGTGCTTGCCTTAAAATCAGGTTTCTTTCTGGAGCTGCTGGGGCAAGGCAATGCTTGGGGATGGGCAAGGCACATCGTGCAAGGCAGCGGCCCCCCGGCTGGGGTGAGTGCTCTTGCTGAGACTCTCTCCACCTCACCATCCCCTCCTTGCCCTCCTCTCCCCTAGGACGGATGCCTTCCCCACCGATGACTGAC